GGGGGGGGGGGTAGGGGAACCTGCCTCATGGGGGGTTAGCACCGTTTTATAGCCCGGCGGCTGTCGAAGCAGTGCCGTTTTTGGGCCCGGCGGCCAATGCATCAGTTGATTCTATGGGGGTGGCCGTGACTTCCGGTGAAGGTCCAGTGGAAGTGGTACGTTGGGGTTGTTGAATTCCGATGCAAAAAGCGGCGCCCCTGTGACGGGGATCACACTCAGCACCCGAGTGGGACGGCTGAGCGAAACACACTCTGACACTTGTATTCAGTGACTCAGTTATCACGATGGGAAGGATGGCGGTGGAACAGCATGGCGAAAAGTCCGAGAAAATTGTAGGTGTTTGAACAAAGGTTGTTTCCCTTGACTGCGGTGACGAAGCGGCTCAAGCTGCAGCGCTGCTGGGGAGGAAATGGTTTAGGGGGAAGGTATCATGAAAAACCATGGAAACAAACCGAGCAGATTAGACAGCGTGGTCAAAGGTTTCGGTTGCAGGTACGTCACGGTGATCAGCCGTGATATCCTAGTCAACTGCATGGAGCTTCGTTAGCGACAGCCATGCAGCGACTCTGTCGCCCCCTGCGTGTGGCGGTGGAAAACCCTTTGTCCAGGGGTGGACACACACACACACACACACACTCCTAGGCGACGCTGTACACGATATGTATCGCAATGCGATATATATATATATATATCCATATATTTACGCATCATGCAAAGAACTGTTAAATAGATGACCAACCAACCCAACCCAACCCAACCCAACCCAACCCAACCAACCAACCAACGAGGGACTCTTCCACTCTGCGACTTCCCTCACGGACGGTCCCTTTTCAGGCGTTTCAACGGATCGCTCCGTCCGGTGGAGGCATGGGGGGGATGGAGGTGACGCGAGCGACTGGGTCCGGGATAAACGGATAAAGCATAGTCTCTCCCATCTTGATCAGGCTCACTGTAACAATCAGGAAGATATTTTCTTGGAGGGCAGAGATGGAAGATGGGACTGAGATGGGAGATGGTCAAGTCATATTTGAGAGGTTTGCGGGTCCGAGAGCCGATCGCTGCGCCGATTTCGGCCCTTGAGCCGATCAGGAATGGCTGCGCTTCAATTGAAGGGTTTTGTCCAATGCACATCATTCAGGAGCAAGCTGCCATTGCTCGGCAGAAAGGGCTCTTTAAATCTGCAACTGCTTGGGAGGTGTTTGTGAATCTCACCTGCAATACGCTGGTGGAAAACAGCTGCTCTTCAGCGACCGTCTCCAAGGTAGATTTCTTTCTCAGTCATTCTTGGTCCTGTCCAAGATTCAAGAAGATGCTGACGGTGTGTCACTATCTCAATTTCGACTTGGCAATCATGCTTTGCCTAGCCGCATGTGTTGCCGCAGCATCGATTCTGCTTCTGTTGGCAGGAAGCTTTACTGGTGTGGCACGTGAGTACCAAGGTTGGCTTGCTGGCACGCTAGTGTACTTCCCAATGGCCATATTTGCCCTGACATACTTCTTCGGGCATTTGTTGAGTCGTAAATCTTTCTGGTTTGACCGTATTTGTGTGAATCAAGCAGACGTGTTTGAGAAAGCTGCTGTCCTCCAAGCCATTCCAGCCTTTGTTGCGAACTCAAATGAGATGCTTGTTTTATGGGATGATGCATATTTTCAGAGATTGTGGTGTATTTTTGACGCTTGGCCGCATGATTTCACATCTCAAGTGGAGTTCTCTAAATGAGCCGATTGTTTTGCACATATTTTGGTGTCTCATTTTTTCTTGCCTTTTGTTTCTATTCATCCTTTTTGTGTTTTCATGTCCAGAGTTTTGCTTGGCCCAAAATGGAGCTTTTGAAGGGTTATGGTTGAAGTATGGTTGCTCGGAAGGGTCCTCATGGGAATTTTACACGGTTTAGTGCCATGGCGACCTCACCTATTCTTTTACTAAGCAGCTGGAACCTGTCCTGCAACTGTGTGACAAGTCTTGAGTTAACTGAGGAGTTCACAGTTTTTTGCAAGTCTTCTCCGTGTCCTCAAGGGCTGCATTTTGTGCCAACCTGGGCACCGAGCTGGAGTCTGTCTTGCATCATGGTGAATGCCATCGCCGTCGTTGCATGGGACCGCATGACACCCCGCATGGATTGGCCTTCGGAAGAGTCACTTTTCCTCTCATGGTTTCGTGGCTGAAAGGGATCGCGCTGACCACACCCAGAAGCTGTCATTTGGTGGGTGAAAACCCCGGCACCCTGTTGGACCCCGGAACATTCACCGATTCGTAAGGAATGCCAACCTGCTCTTGCAAGCTTTGTCGCTTCAATGCTGCATTGGTCTAGGACCAGACACAGAAGGGAGTTTGTACACCAATTACTTTACTTCGCGCGATCCCCACCTTGAGAAGCGATTTGGAAGAAGCAGGGCACATGTATTGACACACAGACACACTATCCTGACATTCGCTGCCTGGTGAGGGCATTGATTGATGCAATGCTCTGACACTTTGTTCTTGCATCAAGTCTGGTATGTGTTCTGAAGCATCATCTGGCGCAAAGGCTGGGACATGTTTTGGAATGTGTTCCGACGTTGTTGCTGGCATGTCTTCTGACATGTGCCCTGCCGTGAAGTCTAACGCATGTTCTGACATGCCTTCTGGCATGCGCATTTGACATGTGGTCTTGCACCAACTTGGCATGCTCCGACAAGTGACATATGGCATGGCTTCGGCTCTTGTGGCCTGTCGCCTAGGCCAGGTGCCTCACACGAGTGAGCCCGCTCAAAAGTAGTCCACCGTGAAGGAGGTCTCTTCAGTGTCACCAGCGTGGACTGCATGGCCAGAGCTGGGTGCTTCCGGTGGGCTAGTGGTCGGTGGACTGCTCGAGGGATCCTTTGGGCTGGGTTTCATGGCCTGTGCTGGATCCCTGAGCTTGCTGATCCAGCTCAGTGGGAAAATGCAGCCGCCGTGGTGTGGGCCCTGGGCCCTTAAGGTTGGGCTCTTGTGACTCTGCATGGTGCTGATGCTGAAGTCTGGGTTTCTTGGACGTCTCCTGCACGACCTGGGGTGCTGGCTGAGTTGTCTGGCTGGTGCCACTCGTGGAGTCCTCAGGACTCTTTTGCTGTGATGCTTGTGCTGCTTGCTTGCGGAAAATCTCCGTTAGCGGTGGAGATCCACTAATGCCTGAGCCTTTGCAAGGCTTTTTGATGGCGCCAGTGAGGATGAGCCTTTGTTGAGCATCCAAGTGCAGACTCAATCCGCATTGTGTGCAAGTTACTTTGCTGCCCTTTTGCCGCAGTGCATGACTGGTGTGGCCTTCATGGGTGGCTGTGTACGGCTGATCCAGGCATTGTCCTTGTACAAAAGCTTGGAACAGCTGCTCATTGCTCCTCTTGTGGACATTTGCTCCACATTTGACACAGCGTAGATATCCTGCAGTCTCGTCAAATTCGTGCTGGTGCTTTGGTGGAGCTTCTTCTTGCTGTTGTTGCAGAAGCTTCTTGATGACCTGTTGCCTGGTCTGCTTCTTGGGCATGGGCTGGTGAGGACTGTCTGGTTCAGGCTCTTCAATGCTTAGCTGCGGACAGTCTGCGTTGTGGTGTTCTTCAAGGACCTGAACAGTGAGGGCCTGATGGACACGCACTCCACATGCTCCACATTGGTAGCCACTTCTGTGTGGCACCCATCTGTGAGACGGTGCCTGCCAAGGTGTTTTGCACTTAGCAATGAGTTGCTTTTTGTATTGCTTGGTGTGCTTGCCCTGGTGGCGGTTTGGTTTCTGGTGGATGTAGTGATCTTTACTGTTGAAGACCGTGGCCAATCTGCTGATTGCATGTGTGTAGATGAGCTTGTGATCCTCATCTAATACCCGCTGCCCTCTCCCAGGCTGCCAGGGCTGCATCCCGTTGGCGTCGCCTCAACTGAGGCTCACTGCCTGGCGCTTGTGGTGACCTGGTGTTTCTGGACACATAGAGAACCTTGACTCGTTGGAAGTCTTGGTGTGTGAGCTGCTCAAGCTGGTCCAGGTAGGGTCCTCGATGTTTGGGTTGCGTCCATGCTGCCCACACACTGACGAGCTGGGCAATGACTCTCACTGCTGTGGAAGTGTGCTTGGCCAATGCAACTAGGCCTTCCATGAGGGCCCTGGCCTTGTTGTGAGGTGCTCTGGGTGTACCTGTTATGGCCTAGCCTCTGCAATTGGCGCAAGGTCATGGTGTGGGCGCACAGTCCAAAAATCCAGAGCTGATCTCTCTGGTCATAGCTCGACGGCGTGGCGTCGAGAGTGAAGGCCCACCCTTGGTGTTGATGTGGTGCCAGTTGTTGCAAACCCTGCCACGCCCCATGTCCCTGGTACGGGAGCACCATGTGTTTGGCCTCCTGCGGCTCCAGGGGAATCCAGCCAGCCGTCGTCTCGTCCTCGGACAAGATGCGCTCTGCCCACTCTGGTGGCATGGGTTTGTGTTTTTGTGTCTGGTGCCATTTGCACAACCACAGAATGTGCTTCGTTGTTGCTGGAACCTTGCAAATGGGGCACTCTTTGGCTTTGCCATCCTCTTTGTAGTGCAGTGCTGCCTGAGTCCATGTGCGGAGATGTGGTTTCTGATCACCAGGGATGGTTTTGAGCACCTGCCGGTAGCATGCCAATCGATGCCTGCAACAAGGTGTTGATGATTCGGTTTGCTCGCCACTCTGGCAATGCGTTGTGCTTTGGCCTCTTGTTGAATGGTCCGCTCGAGTTTCCACCAGGGATCCTGAATTGTGATCTCATTCTCTATCATGTAGGTGCTACCCTGCCTTTGCCAACGATGTATGTCATGGACCTGCCAGTTCCATTCCATCAGGTAGGCAATGGTGGCCGCCATAGGCCCTCGCACCACATACCATGGATGTTGTTTGGGCTGGAGCTGCTTGTGGATCTCCGTCCATGCTTGCTCCAAGTGCTGGAGCTGGTGTGGGGGCCAATTGTGATAGTCCTTGCGATTCAATGCCCCATAGCGCCACCGGTTGGATGCCTCCTTGGTGCAGCCGTAGGCGAACTTTTAGTGCAGGGATCTTTAAGGACCTCAATTTGATCCTTCTCTGTTTTGCCTTTTGGAATCTCTGCCTGAGTCCCTTTGCGCCATGTGTGACCTTTAGGCTGCGTCATCAGTGGCTTTGTGACTGCCTGCAAATGGTGCCCTCTCCCCTGTGCCGCCCAAGGGTGCTCTTGGAGGAGGTACTGCTCGGTGCGGGAGAGCCAATCAGCCCATGGCTGGGCTGCTTGATTTGGCGGAATGCCAAAGAGCTCAACGACATGGGCCTGAGATTGGTACGTTGTGCAGGGCCGGAAGTCAATGTCAGGAACCTTTGGCGTCGGTGGAAAGTAGGGCATCTGTCTATACTCCATTGTAGAAGTTTCAATGTCAAACTTCAAACGCAGCAAAGCATGTGGTCTCCAAGGAACTGCCCATTCCGCCTGTATGGATGTGGTGCCAGCCAAGGTGTTGTGCAGAACCGCATAGTCGATGGTATTTCCTGACAGCACACTGTGATCAGGTGCCAGGATGCCAAATTGGAACTTGGACGGCAAAACTGTGCTTGCCAAAGCACTGGGCTGATTCTGCCAGTCTCCAATGAGCACGTACGGATGTGTGGTATGAGTGAGCAAAGTCAGCAGCTTGGCCAAGATCTCTGAGTTTGTCTCACTTTGAAAGGTCTCACCAGTTTGCAGGTACAGTCCAACGACCAGGATGGTTGTCTCCGTGGCCTGCCAGAGAAAACTTTGGAAGCCGCATCCTTTGTTGGTGTAGGATTGGAACTGCGTCAATCCGCTTGCTGGATCAGCGAGAACCAACAGTCCTCCATGTGCGCCAGTGTGATCCTGGTTGGGTTCAGCCGGTGTGCCAAAAACCGTTCTT